GAATTAGAACTTTAGAAAAAACAATAGCTACCTACCTGCCTTCCATGGAGGACCTGTATACTGCATGAGTCAAAAAGAGGGCTGGGAAAATATCTACAGACGCTTCACATCCTGGACATAAATTGTTTCAACTCCTACTCTCAAAACGACACTATAGAGCACTGCACACCAGAACAACTAGACACAAGGACAGTTTTTCCCCGAACACCATCACTCTGCTAAACAAGTAATTCCCACAACACTGTCAAACTATTCACTAAGTCTCCACTACTATTAATCTTCTCATCATTCCTATCACCCATCTCCTCCCACTTATGACTGTATGACTGTAACTTGTTGCTGTATCCTTACGATTTATATTGATTGTTTCCTAGTATGACTCGATTGCTTATTTGTAACTATGACTATCATTAAGTGTTGTACCTTATGATTCTTGACAAATGTATCTTTTCTTTTTATGTACACTGAGAGCCTATGCACCAAAGACAAATTCCTTGTGTGTCCAATCACACTTGGCCAATAAAGAATTCTATCTTCTATCTATCTTAAGGGGCAAAAGGGGATGCTTTAAACCTTGAGAATATGCAAAGCATCCATCTGATTCTTAAAAACCTTGAATCTCTCCCTCCCAAGGAATCTCGTTGGTCCCCATTTGGAGCCAACAAAGCCACCTACTCCTGGTTTGTAATCAGATCGGTTTCCTTCACTAACTTCTGGGAAAACCTAAGATCTTCTGCTTCAAAAATTTTAGCAAGGGGTTCTCTGGCTGGTCGCTGGGTGGGTGCGGCCATGGTGGGCATGGCCTAGTCAGCCTTCTGCACCATGGTGTGTGTGTGTGTGTGTGTGTGTGTGTGTGTGTGTGTGTGTGTGTGGCATTTTTGCCCTCCCTGGGCTCTGGAGGGCGAAAACAGCCTCCCCAGGCTCTGGAGGCCCTCCAAAGGCTAAAAACAGGCCCATTTCCGGCCTTCCCGATCTTTCAATAGGTCCATTTTTTGCCCTCCCCGAGCTTCCGCACACCCTGCACTTACCTGCATCCAAAACGGGCCGCGTGGGGACTCCTGGGAGAGGAAAGGCAGGTTGGACGGGGCCAGCCAGGAATGGGTTTTGGGGGTTCTCTAAACTGCACAGAATCTTAGCTAGAGGTTCTCCCGAACCCCCGCGAACCCCCAGCAGTCCACCCCTGTATCCACAGCATTAGCAACAATACCAGTTTCAGGCTACCCTCCAGTTATTTTAAAAAAAAAATAAACCCTCGGGGAGGAATGCATCTCACTGTTTAGTCTAAGCTCAACGAGCGTGCAATACAGCGGTTCCCAAGGCCTCCTGTCCAAGACTCTGTGGCCACCTCTCTGCCCCTGCCTGGCTCACCGTTTGAAGACTCACCGTGCCTTCCATGGGGAGCTTGTGTGGTGGTTTCACCTAAGGAGGTCTTGACGTTCTGCTTCTCAGATGCATTCTAAAAAGAAAGGGAGGAAGTCACTGAAGAACCTGATTGCAAGAGACAATAGACCGGCCTTTTCCTTTGCAAAATCACAGGGTGCACTAACCAAGGAAGCGCTGAACATCAGAGGGCTCGTTTTGCAAGAAAGCACTTGCAGGGCAAATGCCCAGGAAACATCCAAGGAAAGAAAGGCATTTTTTGTGACTTTCAGATGTTGGAAGAGGAGCCTGATGAAATAGGAGCAACTTGGGTGATCGGTGGTGCTGGTGGGGAAAACCATAGGAGCCGATGCTGTGGTGGGTAAATGCCAGGGGTTCCGGATGAAAGTTGCTACTAAACGTTGCAGCTGGTTTTGGACCAGATGCTATTTAAGAGTGCAATCATTTAACCCAACAGTCTTGTGAGGATAAAAGGGAGGGAGGGAGGGAGGAAGGAAGGAAGATGAAAAAGGGGAGTGGGGAGAAGGGGTGGGGAGAGGAAGGGGAGAGGAGGAAGGAGGGAGGGAGGGAGAAAAGAATGGAGAGGAAGGAAAAAGAGAGGAGGGGAGGGGAGAGGGAGAAGGAGGAGATAGAAAGGAAGGAAGGGGAAAAGAATGGAGAAAAGAGGAGAGGAGAGGAAGAAAGAGGAGAGGAAAGGAGGGGAGGGGAGAGGAGAGGAGAGAAGAGGAGAGGAGGAAGGAAGGGAGGAAGAAAGAAAGGGAAAGGAGAGGAGGGGAGAGGGGGTGGGGAGAGGGAGGAGAGAGGAAGGAGTGAGGGAGAAAAGAATGGAGAGGAGAGGAAGGAAAAAGAAAGGAGAGGAGGGGAGGGGAGGGGAGAGGGAGGAGAGAGAAAGGAAGGAAGGAGAAAAGAATGGAGAGGAGAGGAGAGGAGAGGAAGAGAGAGAAGAGGAAAGGAGGGGGCGGGAGAGGGGACGGAGGGGAGGAGAGGGGAGGGAAGGAAGGAAGGAAGGAAGGAAGGAAGGAAGGAAGGAAGGAAGGAGAGGGAGGGATCCTTAATCAGGCACGCTTACTGACATGATACAACTATAAGGTGTATGACAGGCCCAGCTCACTTTTGGGGAGCTCTTTGTGCCCTGGGAGGAAAGGTGGCCATTAGAGGAGACCACAGAATAGTTCTCCTGTTCTTATCCTTTAAACAATTGCGTAGAAAAGGCTACTTCAACCGGGGGCTGCTGGTCCGAAGAGCGAGCTCTGCTGCAATCACATTAGGAACAAGCTGCAGGGGTGCCCGAACGACACAGGTGAAATGACGCCATCCGATAATAAGGATTGCAATGACATCCTTGTCTCCGTCTATGCAAGTCGTCGTCTTTGGGTGTCGATGACGTGGATGTGCTATCGTTGCCCAGCCTCGTCCCTCTGCTGATGCCCCTGGAAGCCTCTTAAAACCCCTTTTCTTTTTCTGCCAGGTTTGTACGGTGCTTTGTGCAAACGTCTAGCAACATATTGCATCTCTGTGCGGTCCCTGGGATTTGCAATCATCTATCAATGCCACTCCAAAGCATCATTGTCAGTGACAGGCGGAGACCTTTCTATTTTCCCCCCAGGATTTTTTATTTTAATGTTTATTTTTAAATTGAATCCGAATGGTCTCTGGGTCTCTAGATTTCAAAGGGCTGACCCTGACGGCTGCCTTGCTTGTAGGGTATCTTTATTTTTGTCATTTATTTGATTTTATGGCATCTAGTTTGAATTTCAGTTATATTATACTAGCTGAATACCCGCGCTCCGCTACGAAGCTATGTGATCGGGCTTGATAAATCGACACTTACAGCTTGAAAATTAATGAGTAGTTATGATGGGCCTCTCCTCTCCCCTTCTCTCCCTCAGGCTTGCCCCACAGAAATGTTTCCTATCCCCTTCTCTCCCTCAGCCTTGCCCCACAGAAGCGTCCCCTATCCTCTCCCCTTCTCTCCCCAGCCTTGCCCCACAGAAGCCTCCCCTATCCTCTCCCCATCTCTCCCTCAGCCTTGCCCCACAGAACCTCCCTTATCCTCTCCCCTTCTCTCCCTCACCTTGCCCACAGAAGCCTCCCCTATCCTCTCCCCTTCTCCCCTCAGCCTTGCCCCACAGAAGCCTCCCCTATCCTCTCCCCTTCTCTCCCTCAGCCTTGCCCCACAGAAGCCTCCCCTATCCTCTCCCCTTCTCTCCCTCAGCCTTCCCCACAGAAGCCTCCCCTATCCTCTCCCCTTCTCTCCCTCAGCCTTGCCCCACAGAAGCCTCCCCAATCCTCTCCCCTTCTCTCCCTCCGCCTTGCCCCACAGAAGCCTCCCCTATCCTCTCCCCTTCTCTCCCTCAGCCTTGCCCCACAGAAGCCTCCCTATCCTCTCCCCTTCTCTCCCTCAGCCTTGCCCACAGAAGCCTCCCCTATCCTCTCCCCTTCTCTCCCTCAGCCTTGGCCCAGAGAAATGTATCCTATTCTATCCCCTTCTCTCCCTCAGGCTTCCTAGCCCCTTCTCTCCATGAGGCTTGCCCCACAGAAGCCTGTCCTATGCTATCCTGTTCTCTCCAGAGTTATTTTCAAGTTGGGAGAGGGAGTACAACATGTAACTAATTAGCATCAGAGTATGTTATAATAATATAGGAAATACTAATGCTCTGATGGTCATTTCGAAAAATCCTTTCTTAGCGAGCACCTAGAAGCCGAGAGGAACATACGTGGCAAATTTCAAGTCTGTAGCAGGGGTGAAATCCAGCAGGTTCTAACAGGTTCTGGAGAAACAGTAATGGAAATTTTGAGTAGTTCAGAGAACCGGCAAATACCACCTCTGGCAGGCCCCAGAGTGGGGTGGGAATGGAGATTTTGCAATATCCTTCCCCCAAGAGTGGGGAGGGAATGGGAATTTTGCAGTATCCTTCCCCTGGAGTGGGGAGGGAATGGGGATTTTGAAGTATCCTTCCCCTGCCACACCCACCAAGCCACACCACACCCACCAAGCCACACCCACAGAACAGGAAGTAAAAAAAATTGGATTCCACCACTGTTTTGTAGGCTTTACAGTTCTGGAGATTTTATGATTATGGCTTGAGTGGTTTTCGGATCTATCTATCTATCTATCTATCTATCTATCTATCTATCTATCTTTATTAAAAATGAAATTATAGTCACAGGCCAGAAAGCTTGAGATATCAAACAAATACCTTTACCAAATATATATGTGTGTGTGTGTATATATATATATGTAAAAAAAGAAGCAGACATTCTGCGACCTCCGGAACTTAAAATTTTAAAATAATTTTAACAATTTATTCTACAAAGCTTTCGTCAGCCATTTGCTGACATCATCAGAGTATTAAACTACCATTACAGAGATCTCTGCCTTTATATGCCATTAATCAATTTGGCCATTGTGTGTGTAATAGGTCCTTCCAATCATTACAGATCTCTGTAATGGTAGTTTAATACTCTGACTATGTCAGCAGATGGCTGACGAAAGCTTAGTAGAATAAAATTTTTAATTATTTAAAAATTTTAAGTTCTGGAGCTCGCAGAATGTCTGCTTCTTTTTTTACTAATATACCTGGAACTCGTGGTTTTGGACAAAGGGATTTTGAGCAAAGTAGATATTGGGGTTTTTATTAAATAAAAGAAAAAAGATGATTGTACACAGACACGCAGGAAAGAATCGTAAGAAGTGCAGGATGTAACAAGGTGATGCATTTATCCTGGGATTTATCCTGCTGGCTGTGTGACCTGGTTCATTTTTCAATCTGTGGAGCCTAAAATGAGAGAGAGAGAGAGAGAGAGAAGAGAAACATCTGAAGGAAATCCTAAAAGGAATCCTAAAAAGCCCCTTCCTCACCCCCCACTAAAAATACACACCCAACCAGAGGTAGTATTCAGCAGGTTCTGACCAGTTCTGGAGAACTGGTAGCAGAAATTTTGAGTAGTTCGGAGAACCGGTAAATACAACCTATGACTGGTCCCGCCCCCATCTATTCTCTGCCTCCCAAGTCCCAGCTGATCGGGAGGAAATGGGGATTTTGCAGTATCTTTTCCCTGCCACGCCCACCAAGCCACGCCCACCAAGCCATGCCACACCCACCAAGCCACGTCCGCAGAACCTGTAGTAAAAAAATTTGAATCCCACCACTGCACCCACCTTGTTCTCATGTCATCTTGCTTTGAAGGCAGAAATAACCTTTTTTATACATTTTCACAGCATTAGAAGGAAATGGGAGCGCTGAGAAGACAGCAGAATTATAGAGGTAGTCCTTGTTTAGTAACCGTTTACCTTATGACAGTGATGAAAATTGATACCAATCCTTGTATTTACAACCTTCACTAACCTGTAAAGCAAAGAAAATAGAATAGAATAAAATTCTTTTTTGGCCAAGTGTGATCGGGCACACAAGGAATTTGCCTTTGGTGCATAAGCTCTCAGTGTACATTAAAAAAAAATACCTTCATCAAGAATCATAAGATACAACACTTAGTGATAGTCATAGGATACTAAATAAGCAATCAAATCATACCAGGAAACTAAATAAAACAATATAAATCGTACAAGCAACAAGGTTATAGTGATAAGTGGGAGGAGATAGTTAATAGGAAGGATAAGAAGAATAATAGTAATACAGTCTTAGTAAATAGTTTGACAGTGTTGTGGGAATTAGTTGTTTAGCAAAGTGATGGCATGTGGGAAAACACTGTCCTTGTGTCTAGTTGTTCTGGTGTGCAGTGCTCTATAGCGTCATTTTGAGGGTAGGAGTTGAAACAATTTATGTCCAGGAGGCGAGGGGTCTGTAGATATTTTCACAGCCCTCTTTTTGACTCGTGCAGTATACAGATCCTCAATGGAAAGCAGGTTGGTAGGAATTTTTTTTCCTGCAGTTCTAATTATCCTCTGAAGTCTGTGTCTGTCTTGCTGGGTTGCAGAGCCAAACCGGACAATTATGGAGGTGCAGATGACAAACTCAATAATTCCTCTGTAGAACTGAATCAACAGCTATTTGGGCAGTTTGAGCTTAAGGACAGTTGTAGGTTTGTTAGCGACCATAGGGCTTAATGGCCATGTTGCTGGTCCCAGTTACAGTTGCTAAACGAGGACTACTTGTATAGCCAAGGGCCTCATACCAACTTATAAAAATAATAAAGGCGGGATTCTAATAAATAAATAAACATATAAATGATTGAAGACATGTGGACTTCAACTCCCAGAATTCCCTGCCAGCCGCGGGGAATTCTGGGAGTTGAAGGATTCTAATAAACAAACATATAAATGATTGAAGATCTGTGGACTTCAATACTCCCAGAATTCCCCACAGCTGGCAGGGAATTCTGGGAGTTGACGTCCACACGTCTTCAAGCGTGCCAAGCTCGAAAAACACTGTAGAAAGACACCAAGAGATAAAAAGGCGCCTCTCACTACAATTTCTATAACAGTAGAAACAATAATAGAGCCGAGGTGGCACAGTGGTTAGAGTGCAGTACTGCAGGCTACTTCAGCTGACTGCTAGCTGCAGTTCAGCAGATCGAATCTCACTGGCTCAAGGTTGACTCAGCCTTCCATTCTTCCAAGGTAGGTAAAATGAGGACCCAGATTGTTGGGGGCAATATGCTATATGCTAACTCTGTAAACTGCTCAGAGAGGGCTGTAAAGCACTATGAAGTGGTATATAAGTCTAAATTTTTAAAAAAAATTCTGGACTTTTGCCTTTTCTATTTCAATCAAACTTCACGCAGAACAAGGCAATCTGGAGGAAAGGAAAGAAAGCAGAATCGGTTCCGAAACCTTCCCTTGCCCATCGTCACCCCAGTTTTTACAAGGATTTTTATTTGGCATTCTGATTCCTGTCCTGTTGGGGAAACGGGAAGCAATGGTAGCTGAACCCTGTTCCTGCCAATGCTGGAAAGTGGCATTGACTGTACAATACAACCCCACCTGAACAACAGGGCCAATGTTGGCTAAGAAGCTGTTGGGAAACAAGATGGAGAATGCATGACTGTGAAGCTCCAATGCACGACTTACCGGAGAAGAAGTAAAGACAGGCGATCAAGATTAAAATGGATACAAACGTTCCTAGAAGAATGGTCGCAACCTGGACATTTTCCTGTTTTTTCACTGTGCAGAGAAGAGCAACAAAGATAATTAGGGGACCGGAGGCTTAAAATGTATAAAGAACGGTTGCTGGAATTGGGTAGGTCTAGTTTAATGAGAAAAAAGGACTGGGGTGTGTGTGTGTGTGTGTGACATGATAGCAGTCTTCCAATATCTCAGGGGCTGCCACAAAGAAGAGGGAGTCAAGCTTTTCTCCGAAGCACCTGAAGGCAGGACAAGAAGCAATGGATGTAAACTAATCAAGGAGAGAAGCAACTTAGCACTAAGGAGTCGTTTCCTGACAATGAAAACAATTAATCGGTGGAACAACTTTGCCTCCAGAAGTTGTGGATGCTTCATCACTGGAGGTTTTTAAGAAAAGATTGGACATTTAATGATTTTGGATGAGCATGAATTCTAGTCCCACCTTAGGCATCAAAGCCAGCTGGGTGATCCTGGGCCAATCACCAGGAGACGGTGAGTTCTAGTCCCGCCTTATGTGTCAAAGCTGGTTGAGTGACCTTGGGCCAATCACCAGGAGACAGTGAGTTCTAGTCCCACCTTATGTGTCAAAGCTGACTGAGTGACCTTGGGCCAATCACCAGGAGACGGTGAGTTCTAGTCCCGCCTTATGTGTCAAAGCTGGCTGAGTGACCTGGGCCAATCACCAGGAGACGGTGAGTTCTCGTCCCGACTTAGACATGAAAGCCGGGTTAAGGACTTTGAGCCAGTTATTCTGTCAGCCCAACACAGCGTTGTGGTGGTGGGGAAATTGAGGAAAAAAGAGAATTATGTATATTGACTGCCTTGAGTTACTTATGGAGTAATAAAGGTGGGATTAAATGAAATAAGTAAATAAATTCAATCAACCTGTGCAATTCTTGCGAAACGACTTGTGATAAATGAATAATATAATAATGCTAACAATGGAAATAACAGCATATGATAACCACAATGAATTCCAACACTGATTTCAATGACGTTTCCTATTTGTAGCTTGCTCTGAATGCGATCCCAGTAAATAATAGTAATAATAACGAACGAATGAATAACACAATAGCAAATTAAAGTTCCTCTTTGTACATGGGCACCTGCATTTCCAAAGCACCAAAATGCAAGACAACAAACAATGGATGGATGGAAAATGATCAAGGAGAGGAGCAACCTGGAATCAAGGAGAGACTTCCTAACAAGTGAGAACAATTAACCAGGGTGGAATGGCTTACTTTCAGAAGTTGTGGGTGCTTCATCACTGGAAGTTTTTGAGAAGAGACTGGACAGCCACTTAATTCACATTGTATAGGGGTTTGAGCAAGGGGTTGGGCTAGAAGACTTCCAAGGTCCCTTCTGACTCTATTCTGATGGAAGGAGTGCAATCGGACAATTAACTCTGCCCCTTGAACTCGGGTAAGACGAGTGGAACTTGCATCATAACACATCATCTTGACTCCCTTGTGATAGTAGGGTTCTTCCCAGTGGTGAAATCCCAATTTTTTTTACTATCAGTTCTGTGGGGTGTGGCTTTGTGAGCATGGTGTGGCTTGGTGGGTGTGGCTTGGTGGGCGTGGCAGGGGAAAGATATTGCAAAGTCTCCATTCCCACCCATTCTGGGGCCAGCCAGAGGTGGTATTTGCTGGTTCTCTGAACTACTCAAAATTTCCGCTACTGGTTCTTCAGAACCTGTCAGAATCTGCTGGATTTCACCCCTGGTTCTTCCCATGAAGCCCTGGATGTCCCAAGATTTCCTACCAAGTCCAACCTCCATTCCTTGCTAAGTCAAGAACCACCACGATAGTGCAGCATGGATTAGAAAGTAATTTCAGGATAGGGCATACATATTCACCTTTCGTGGCTGGAATAGACAGAGTCTTCAAATTGGAGAATCCAATAGGGTTTATTGCTCTGCAAGTGATCATAGCGGAATTTAATGTATTTCCTAAGAGATATAAGGAACTGGTGCAGGTATTGCCTTGAGTTGAGGCTTTGATCCTTATATTGTCAGAGATGTTTTTCTCGGTTAAATGTTGATGGTTCATGTACCACTGGATCTCTGGTGGGGGCCAAGAATGGAAGGCACAAGAACAAGTGGTGGTGCTGTTTTGGTCATACTTACAAACTTGGATGACCTTGATCTGAGGGCTATCTGGAAGAGAGCAAAACAAAGACACAGTTTCTCTGGGTAAAAGAAGTAAGGTCCTTAATCAGCTGGGTATCCATTGCCTCAAAAAGAAGGAAGTGAAGTCATCTTATATAGCAGTGATGGGTTGCTACCGGTTTGCCCCGGTTCGGGTGAACCAGTAGTAGTGGCGATGGGAGGCTTTGTCCACCTGCCCAGACATCATCAAATACAATCTGCATGTGAGCAAACTGGTAGCAAAGGTAAGTGAAACCCACCCCTGTTATATAGTAAGATCTGATAATGGCACAAAGTACCACTTCTAAAGGTAAAGGTAAAGATTCCTCTTGCACATATGTACTAGTCATTCCTGACTCTAGGGGGCAGTGCTCATCTCCATTTCAAAGCCGAAGAGTCAGCACTCTCCGAAGACGTCTCCGTGGTCATGTGGCTGGCATGACTAAACGCCAAAGGCACACGGAACGCTGTTACCTTCCCACCAAAGGTGGCCCCTATTTTTCTACTCACATTTTTTTACGTGCTTTCAAACTGCTAGGTTGGCAGAAGCTGGGACAAGTAACGGGAGCTCACCCCGTTACGCAACACTAGGGATCCGAACCGCTGAACTGCCGACCTTTCGATGGACAAGCGTCTTAGCCACTGAGCCACCGTGTCCCTCTGTATCACCTCTAGTGTAATAGTACAGAATGTCCTATTCTAGAATGTCCTGGATATTATAAAACACCGAAAGCAACCTGTTCTGAAAGATCTGACAACAATTGGGCATTTTCTCCCAATGGCAAGATATTTGGCATTCTCAACTCATTGCTGGTCAGAATACCAAAAACATTAGCCTTTTAAAAACTGTTGGCTTGCTCGTGTGCTGCCTTGACTGTTGGCTCTTGGTGGCCTGCAACACATAGATGCTGTTTGGCCAATCTTTATTATTTCATCAGTGTTTCTCAACTGTGTCCACTTTAAGATGTGTGGACTTCAACTCCCAGAATTCCCCAGCCAACCATGTTCAACTTGACTTATGATGGCAATGACCTACGATGTCCAATTGTGGTCATAAGTTAAGGTCTGCCTACAAGACAGATCTCATCTCCTTTCTCTCCTCGTGCTTGGAGGAGTAGGAGGAACTGGGAATACAGGTAGTCCTCGACATACGACCACAACGGAGCCCAACATTTAATGTGTTATGACCCAGGCCCAAGTAAGTAGTAGGAAAATCAGTCAGTAAAAAAACAAACAAACTTTATTCGAACAGCTGAGAATTACTTCATTCCCAGCGTCGTTCAACCAAATTAAAGCAAATTCCTCCCAACACAAATTCCTCAGTCCTATCGCAAACCTTAGTCCAATTAGGCAAACTGCCAAAGGCCTTTCTTGGCAAACGTTCAGAAGTCACAGATACAAAAATAAATACAAGACGAAGACTAAGAAGAAGACAAAGCTACCAATGTTGTTTTCCAGCAAAGCCCAAGCGCTGTTGCTGGTCTGTTTTAAGCCTTATGGGAGGGGCCCTACTCCCGAATTGTCCTCTTTGCCTGAGCTGCTCTTGCCTTCTGGCAGCTCTTCTCATGCATGCATTAGGAACAGGAGGAGCCTGTTCCTGTGCCTCACTCCTATCAGTCTCTGGAGGCTCCGGAGTCCACACCTCACTCCCAGATGGCCCTGGCCCCATCTCTGCCTCTGACGCAGAGCCCTCATCCGGGCCTTCCCCAGCTTCCAGGACTGGCCCATGTTCTTCCTCAGCCTCATCGCTGTCCGACTCTGCTGCCAGCTCCGCAGGCTGCTGGCGGACCACAACATAATGTGAGACATGTGGTAAGTGTGCTTGTTCCCTTTTAACAAACGTTCCTGCCACCACTGTTACGTGAATCATTGGAGTTAGTTACGTTAGTGGATTCCCCATTGACTTGGCTTGTCAGAAGGTCGCAAAAAGTGATCATGGGACAATGCAACCATCATAAATATGAATCAGTTGCCAGGCATCTGAATTTTGATCACGTGACTGTGGGGATGTTGCAACGGTGGTAAGGGTGAAAAAAAAACGGTCATTGGTCACTTTTTTCAGGGAATAGAATAAAATAGAATTTTTTTATTGGCCAAGTGTGATTGGACACACAAGGAATTTGTCTTGGTGCATATGCTCTCAGTGTACATAAAAAGATAAGATACATTCGTCAAGAATCATAAGGTACAACACTTAATGATAGTCATAGGGTACAAATAAGCAATCAAATCCTATTAGGAAACTGTCAATATAAATCTTAAGGATACCAGCAACAAGGTTACTGTTGTAAGTGCTGTTGTAACTTTGAACGGTCACTAAATGAGCTGCCATAAGGTTGCATCTCTTAACCAAGATCAGAGAGCTTCCTTGGCAAAGCCTGAGGCCAAAAGTTCAATAAGAGACCTACTCACATGCCATGTGAAGTTGGACGGTGTTTTGTATGAGTTTCTTTGAGGCAGGGTACTTTAAGTGACAAGCGAGGATTAAGCCTTCGTTAGCCAACGAGGGTACGAAGCTGAGGTTGGTTCCATAAGTCCAGGTCCAATTACTCTTTTGGGTGGCCCAATCAGACATATTCCAATGGTTTGATTTGATGGACCAGAGGATTTTAGGCTTGGGATTCAAGCAGGAATTTGACGCCACACAGCTGAAGTGGATGGTTTCCCCCCAGATGATGGAAGGTGGCTTCCAAATCATTGGCTTCTTCACATCTAAGCAAGGAAAAGGTGAATGGGAGGCCTTTTGGTGGTACCTTTCTGCCTCCAGCTGCCTTTATCAACCCAGCCCATTCTGTAATTGGGTATGTCTAGTTCAGGGGTCAGCAACCTGCGGCTCTGGAGCCGCATGTGGCTCTTTCACCCCTCTGCTCCGGCTCTCTGTCATTCAAAATATGTGTCACAACTGCCAATGTGCGACCCCTGTAGGCACGTGATTTATTGAGCTGTTCAACCCCTGGTAGGCCAACCATGGATAAATCCAAGAAAAGTTTCAGAAGAAAACAGAACGTTTAATTCAACTACATATGCTAGTTTTGTGGCCGCTCAAGAAATAGTCAGGCACGGGAAGGGTTTTGTGGCTCCCGGTGTTTTCTTTTCTGTGGGAAACGGGTCCAAATGGCTCTTTGAGTGTTTAAGGTTGCAGACCCCTGGTCTAGTTTAATGAAAAGAAGGACTGGGGGAGGGGGAAACAGCAGTGGTGGAATTCAGTGGTGGGATTCGGGCGAACCATAGTTAAATTGTTGGCTGGCCCCACCCCTCCCTGCCCCACCTGTCCCATTTTCACTCCCAGGGGGCTTCAGGGAGGCCTCCTAGGCCCAAAACAGGGTGCAGGGGAGTGTCACCCCCACAGCCCATTTTTGCTCCCAGGGTGGTGCAGGAGTCCAAGTGCTGCCTGTCACACACCCCTGGCCACGCCCACCATGGCCACGCCCTCCCAGCAGGTTTCCTCCGGGCAGAAAACCGGTTGTTAAATTATTTGAATTTTACCCTTGCCACTGGGTGACAGGGTAACAGCTTTCCAACATCTAAGGAGCTGCCACAAAGAAGAGGGAGGTCAACCTAGTCTCCAAAGCATCAGAAGGTCAAAGAAGAAGCAACGGTTGGAAGCTAATCAAGGAGAGAAGCAACCTAGAACTAAGGAGAAATTTCCTGACAGTGAGAACAATTAATCAGTGGAACGACTCGCCTCCAGAACTTGTGAATGCTCCAACACTGGAAGCTTTTAAAGAAGATGTTGGATAACCATTTGTCTGAAGTGGTGTAGAGTTTCCTGCCTAAGCAGGGGGCTGGACTAGAAGACCTCCAAGGTCTCTTCCTCTTCTGTTATTCTGTCTATTGTGGCTTCATTTGCAAAAGTCTTACTGTTGTGGCTTGTTGGCCGCCGGTCCCTCCTGCAGCCAAATCAGAGGAGGCAGCGGTGTGGGAGTCAGGGTTAGCATCAAGGCAACCTCCGAGAGGGAAGGGGAATGGAGCTGTCAGAGAGAGAGAGAGAGAGAGAGAGAGAGAGAGAGAGAGAGAGAGAGAAAGAGAGAGAGAGAGAGAGAGAGAGAGAGAGAGAGAGAGAGAGCCTGGGCCGTCTGTCAAACCTCAGATGGAGAGCCCACAGCCCCCAGATCTCGAGGTGACTGATAAGAAAGAGGAGGAACAGCTGGGTCCACTACCTGAGATGCGGATGCGCAGAAGGCAGAGGAGAGGAGAGCAGTGGAAATCTATGGACCGATCCTTGGGACAGAACAGCCATCGCTGCTAGCAGAGTCCCACCCTAGCTCTGGGGATAAAAGGCAGAGGGCAGAGATGAATAGATGTAGCAAGCAACTATTCATTTTCTGGCTGGATTTGTTAGCCTGCGGTGAGAGGAAAACTTTTTGCAAGGGCTGCCGGAGCTGCTAATAAAGGAATTTTTGAGTTCACTTCAGAAGGTTTGTCGTGTTTGGGGAGATGGGTCAGAACACTTACCGTACTGGGCAACAAGGATCCAGGCTTGTCTGTGGCTCCCCAACATTTCCCCACCCTGTTCTAAAGTGAAGGAATCAAAAATGTCAAGGAAGAAGGGCGGGGGGGGGGGGGGGTTCAAGAACTTACCTACCTCTCACCACAATTTGGGGATTTACGTGATGTTGTGGAGCAGAAGATTCAAACGCATACCTAAATCCTGATCCTTTATCAATTCTCATGTAGTACTTTCCCGAGTCCACAGGCTGGGCATTTGCAATGCTGAAGGAGCAGTCGCCATTTTTGGGATCCCCGATCAGTTTAAAATTGGTAATCTCAGCTTTCTGCCTTAAATCATTGGTGACCATCAGATATCCTGGTACCCACATGTTGATCCACACCAAATAGTAACGTTTTCTTATACTCTTAAACCAATAGATGTAAAACGGTGCTGAGCTTTTTGAGTACCGTTCCGGAGTGGTGAACATACAGGGTACGTCGGTGCAATGGTTTATTTCCACAAGGACTTTCTTAGGCATGGAAATCGAATAGCCTGGAGGGATGGTCAGAGTACCTGGTGGGAGGAGAGAAGGATGTAACTGGCAAGGCCCTGCTACCACTACCTTATTACCTTATTACCACTACCACCCCAAGGCTTTTAACTGTCTGGTTCAGTTCTGCAACCCAACAAGACAGACACAGACTTCAGAGAATAATTAGAACTCCAGAAAAAACAATGGCTACCTACCTGCCTTCCACTGAGGACCTGTATAGTGCACGAGTCAAAAAGAGGGCTGGGAAAATATTTACAGACCCCTCGCCTCCTGGACATAAACTGTTTCAACTCCTACCCTCAAAACAACGCTATAGAGCACTGCACACCAGAACAACTAGACACAAGAACAGTTTTTTTTCCTGTACGCCATCACTCTGCTTAACAAATAATTCCCTCAACACTGTCAAACTATTCACTAAGTCTGCATTACTATTACTATTAATCTTCTCATCGTTCCTATCACCCATCTCCTCCCACTTAATGACTGCATGACTGTAACTTTGTTGCTTGTACCTTATGATTTATATTGATATTGTTTCCTGATTGCTTATTTGTACCCTATGACTATCATTAAGTGTTGTACCTTAGGATTCTTGATGAATGTATCTTTTCTTTTTATGTACACTGAGAGCACATGCACCAAAGACAAATTCCTTCTGTGTCCAATCACACTTGGCCAATAAAAAAATTCTATTATTCTATTCTATTCTATTCTATTCTATTCTATTCTATTCTATTCTATTCTATTCTATTCTATTCTATTCTATTCTATTCTAGTCTAGTCTAGTCTAGTCTAGTCTAGTCTATTCTAGTCTATTCTATTCTATTCTATTCTAGTCTAGTCTAGTCTAGTCTAGTCTAGTCTAGTCTAGTCTAGTCTAGTCTTCAAGAGATGGTCTGTTCATCCAATCAATTCAGTGCAACAACAATGCAAACAACAATTAAGGAGAAACTTCCTAACAGTGAGGACAATTAACCAGTGGAACAGCTTGCCTCAGCGGTTGGAATGATCAGATCAACTGGATGAAAGCAATAAATGTATTTTTAAAAGTTATTTTCCATCTTCTGGGGTTCGTTCTGCAATCTCGTCCTTCACAACATTGATAAAGAAAAGCAATATTCTATGGTTTGCTCAGGTAAATTGAAGCTACCTATTTGGGCTGCAGCAACAGGTGGTAGCAGAGAGGCACAGAAAACTATAAAAACTATAACGTTTTGCTGTCACCTAGTGGTCAAAGGACATTTTGCAGGCCAGAAATGAAACCCTGATTTAAGACACACAGATGCATTTGCAATGTAGCCGTAGCCCTAGCCCACCCGCCCAGACGTCATCAAAAACGCACTGCGCACGCGCAGAACCTTCTGCACATGCGCAGATGCACCACACACTCCCAAAGTGAGCGCACGCACCCGCGCGCTCCTGAGAGTGAACCGGTAGTGCCGAGATTTGAAACCCACTACTGATCCCAGAGCAGTCCAAACTTCAAACCTGGAAGCTCAGATAAACAATAAGCCAGGAGGCTGACCAGATTAGCTCAGACAAACACCTAGGACCGTGATGGTGAACCTATGGCACATGTGCCAGAGGTAGAACACGGAGCCATATCTGTGGGCACGCGAGCGTTGCCCTAGCTCAGCTCCAGTGTGCATGTGCATGCTAGCCAACTGATTTTCAGGACTTCCAGGCCCACTGGAAGTCGGGAAATGGGCTGTTTCCGGCCTCCGGAGGGCCTCTGGGGGGTGGGGAAGGCTGTTTTCGCCCTCCCCAGGTTCCTAGAAAGCCTCTGGAGCCTGGGGAGGGCAAAAAAACAGGCCTACCAGGCCCACCATGCCATTGCATACCAAAGCGGGGGGTGGTGGTCACGTATGCATGTGGGGGGCGGGGCGCATTGAATTATGGGTATGGGCATGTACGAGCGCGACCTCCCCACACTCCCCATGCTTTTGGCATGCAACGGCAGAAAGGTTAGCCATCGCTGACCTAGGATTTGCATTTCCTCTTTTGCCTATAGAGCCAGCTATGACCCCTACATGACCCCTACCTACATAATCCCACAGGAATCCGACAACAGCCAATAGAATACACGTTCTTGCACAGGAACAGGTGCCACAAAGCCATGTGGTTCTGCTTCATCAATAAACCATCTTTCCAATCAGCCTCCATGTTTCCAGGGTCTTTCTTCCCGCTGGGAACTGAACCAGATGGATATTTCTTCCTACAATTGTATTTGAACCAGCCCGCTTAAACTTTCAGGTCATCTGCGACTTTTCATGGTTTCAGCAAGCGATGCTACCATGTGAACCCATGCAAATTTGACAGGCAATGCCAAACTGAAGTTCAGAACAAAGGGGAGAAGGAATGACCGAGGGGGGAAACAGAATGCTTCCACAAAGGGGAGCTTAAACCGCTTCCCTGATTTTTCATTACTTCTCCAATACTTTTACATCCATCAAATCAGTGGTGGGTTCTTCCCGATTCAGTCCGGTTTGGCCGAGCCGGTAGTGGTGACGATATGACGTCACCGAACCGGTTCTCCCCCCTGCCCTCCCACCCCCTACCCCCCCACGTTATTCTTACCTTTTATTTGGTCCCACCCCCAATCTATTGCTGCCTCCTGAGTCCCAGCTGATGACTAGAGGGAAAAAAACTGTTTAAACTCTTGCCGCGGGGCTTCAAAGGGCCGCCCTACAGCTGATCAGTTTTAAAAGCAAACAAATGAGTCGGGTCATAAGTGCGAGGACTGGTCGTAAGTGCGAGGACCTTCCAGAAATGACTCTGACCAGCTAGCCATGCCCACCTAGTCACATGACCTCCAAGCCACACCCACAAAATAAGCCGGTAGTAAAAAACTACAGAACCGGTAGTAAAAAAATTTAGAACCCACCCCTGCATCAAATACAATCCTTTGACTGGGCACCAAGATTTCCCTGACTGTCTCTACCTGCGTAGCGTACAAACCAGTGATGGGTTTAAAATTTTTTTACTACCGGTTCTGTGGGTGTGGCTTGGTGGGCATAGCTTGGTGGGTGTGGCAGGGGAAAGATACTGTAAAATCTCCATTCCTTCCCCAATCCAGGGGAAGGTTACTGCAAAATCCCCATTTCCTTCCAATCAGCTGGGACTTGGGAGGCAGAGAATAGATGGGAGCGGGGCCAGTCAGAAATTTTTACTAGCGGTTCTCCAAACTAATCAAAATTTCCGCTAACGGTTCTTCAGAACTGGTCAGAACCTGCTGAAACCCACCTCTGGTACAAACCATGATTGAAGTTATCTTATCCTTGCATTTTTTGAGACAGAGAAATGGATTCCTGTTGAATTAAGACCTTGTTTTCTGTGACCCATAGCCCTTCTGCGACCATAGCTCGTAACCAGACCACGCGTTCATTTTAGCCACGAAGGGAGAAATTAGAAAACCACTTGAGATTTTACGGTATATTTCTGTGAGTCACTCGTACCTCGATAAAGCAGGAGAAGGTTCAGAGAGGTTAGTAAAAAGGAAGTCATCCCTTGAACTTTGAAGAAATCTCCGTAAACTCCAGCTGGTCGCCCCTTTGACCATCTTCTTACTGCAGAATTATTTCCAGAGATCTACCAGAATAAGAAATTGGAAAAGGTCGTTGAGTATTGTTGTGGCAACCATCAAAAGTCCCATTCACAAAATCTATTTTTTTTTTAAAGAACAAACTGCAAACAGCTTCATAGCCTCATTCAACTCATCTACCGTAGTAAGGTAATTCTAGTCCCAAAGGTGCTTTTTCTTCAAGAGGCCACTGGACTTTCCGGTTTTTCTTTGAAGACGTTTCGCTTCTCGTCCAAGAAGCTTCTTCAGCTCTGACAGGATGGTGGGGAATGGAACTCTCAGATGGGTTGGGCTGAGAGAGTGACTGACCCGGGGGTGGGCTTCAAAATTTTTAGCAAGGGGTTCTTTGCCCGGTTGTTGGGTGGGTGGTTGTTGGCCTCCTGCACCATGGTGGGGAGGCGTTTTTGCCCTCCCTGGGCTCCGGAGCCTTTTCTCGAGCCTCCAGGAGGTTGAAAATGGCCTCCCCAGGCTCCAGAGGCCCTCTGGGCCCATTTCCGGCCTTCCTGAACTTCTAGTAGGCCCATTTTTGCCCTTCCTGAGCCTCCATGCATGCCCTGCACTTACCTGCATCCAAAATGGGATGCATGAGGACTCCCAGAAGGGGCAGGGCAGGGTGGGTGGGGCCAGCCAGGAGTGGGATTTGGGAGTTCTCCAAACTGCCCAGAATCTTAGCTAGAGGTTCTCCCGAACCCCTGCAAACCCCCAGCAGCCCACCCCTAAACTGGCCCCAAGTCATCCAGTCAGTTTTTCCATGCTTAAAGTGGGACTAGAACTCACCATCTCCTGAATTCTAGCCTGGTGTCTTTACCATCAAAGTGGCTCTTTAAATACTGTTAGGTTATGGTTTGAGCCTAACAAGTTGTCCAGACAATATATGTGTTCTGTGACTTTAATATGAATATGTATTGTGTGACTTTAAAGTTTTACTGCTGATTCATTGTAATGCTGAGTCATGCTGTAATTAGATAATCACTGGGTTGTGAATGTATTTAAGTAAGGTACTGTAACGTATTCAGTTGATGATAAGCTACCATTGTGTGTGGAGTTGCAACCATTGTGCTATCATCGTTGGATGGATCTGCTACCATCGTGGTTTGTGAACCAGAGTGAGTTTGTTATTCTAACCAACTACTGTTTGTGTGGTAAGAAGATATCTGTATCACTGGACTGATTTAACTGGCAAAGACTTGGATTGATTTAAAGACTATGAGATTGTTTTTTTCACTATAAAGTAAACTTTTGATAAACCAGTTTGCACATCTCTTATTCATTGCTCTCAGCAACGTTTCTCTGTGCTCTACACTCTGCTGGTTGGTAACACAACAACAATATCCTTAACAAATACTCTAAATAATTCCATTTTTCCCTGCTAGAACAATTACTGGCCAAGATGTCCATCAGATGCTATTGGACTACGATCCCCCCTGCAGCCCAACAGATGCTGTTGAACTACAACTCCCAGCAGCCCAACCAGAGAGATTTTCTTCACTCACCTCATTTCCCACTGTGTTTTTAACTTCTAACTGTCTCGGAATTTTCTTCTTTTTCACCAAAGGGTGGGGGGAGCCATTGACCGGCATTCTGAAGAGCTGAGCCAGCTGTTTGTAACATGGATTTTCCTTGTTCTTCTTCCCCCTCCCTGTTTAGAAATGGCCACTTTATCTTCCTTTTTGGGTGCCTACATGATGCCTATTGTCCCACCTGAGTACACTTTTTCATAATTTCATTAATACTTAAAAAAACCCCCAAAAAGACTGGCACAAGATAAGGAGGAAAATAAAACAGAGAAACAAATCAAAGAGAAAGTTGAAGGACTAGGGGAGACATGGTAGCAGTCTTCCAATATCTCAAGGGTTGCCACAAAGAAGAGGGAGTCAAACTATTCTTCCAAGCACCTGAAGGCAAGAAGCAATGGGTGGAAACTAATCAAGGAGAGAAGCAACTTAGAACTAAGGAGAAATTTCCTGACAGTGAGAACAATTAATAAGTGGAACAACTTGCGTGCAGAAGTTGTGAATGCTCCAACACTGGAAATGTTTAAGAAGATGTTGAATAACTATTTGTCTGAAGTGGTGTAGGGTTTCATGCCTGGGCATGGGGTTGGACTAGAAGACCTCCAAGGTCCCTTCCAACTCTGTTATTCTATTCTATTCTATTCTATTCTATTCTATTCTATTCTATTCTATTCTAAAAATGCAAGAAAGTAAAAGAAATTAGGTCTCAGCAATCTGAAGAGCTGGGCCAACTGCTTTTGCAACGTCTGTTTTCCTCTTTCCTCTTCCCTCTCCCCATTTAGAAAGGCCATTTGATTAGTTTTGATTATGAAGGAATTGAAGCAGAGGTGGTCTTCAGCCGGTTCGGACTGGTCCAGTCAAACCGGTAGTGGTGATCTGCAGGTGGAAGGCCCCCCCGCAATCCCGTCCTATATCGCTGTGTTTGTGATGCTGCTGTACACATGTGTGGACGGTGCACGCAAGCGGATTGCCATGTTGTTTGACGCCGCACACATGCATGGACGGCACGCGCATGAGAATTGCCACATTTTGTGATGCCGCACACATGCGCACTTATATTTCCGGTGCTGGGCGAACCGGTGGTAAAATTATGTGAAACCCACCTCTGAATTGAAGCAAATAAAGATCTGCCTAGTCATCCAATCATTGGAATCCTGTTAAAACAGTGTTTCTCAAACTTGACTAGTTTAAGTTGGATGGACTTCAACTCCCAGAATTCCCCAGCCAGCATGGGGAAAGGGAAAAAGAGAGAAATATATATATATAAAACACTACCTGTGATCTTTCCAACAATGCCATGGGGTTAACTTGGGCTTCCTTCCCTCCCCAAAATATGTTTAAAAAGGCTCTTCTATCCCCAAGAGTATCTTTTTAGAGAGATGACTGGACAGATATGCATCCCTGTGAATCGCATTAGGAATGTTTCTTTAGGAACGAGCAAGTAAGGCCTAAGCCTGAGGTAAAGTTGTAACATGGGAAGAGAAGAGACTTTATTCACTCCTAACTAGTTGTTGAAAAAAAAAAGCCTCTAAGTTAAAGCAGCGTTTCTCAACCTTGATGACTTGAAGATGGGTGGACTTCAACTTCCAGAATTCCCCAGCCAATTCTGGGAGTTGAAGTCCACCTATCTTCAAGCAGCCAAGGTTGAGAAATACTGCTCTAAGGGAAAGGAAGGAAAGATGTGGTGCGAAAGCTAATTGTGAGTTGTTCCTTCAAGACAAATTGAATAGGTTTTCTCCTGCTTGGATAATTATTCTATCTGCCAGGAATATGATTTTTAGAGGGCTTTTAAAAAAGATTTTAGAGGAGTCCCCTATGCGTATGTGGATGGGTGTATGATTGAAGCCACAGCTTTTTCCTTTTTAAAAATCTGTTTGGCAACCTTATGGCTACTATACCTTCCTCTATTCTCTATTGCGCTATTCTCAAGAAAGAAAAAAAGGAAGGGAGGGAGGGAGGGAGGAAAGGAAGGGAAGGGAAGGGAAGGGAGGAAGGAAGGAAGGAAGGAAGGAAGGAAGGAAGGAAGGAAGGAAGGAAACAATCCCTGATTGTTTCCCTGAATCCGAAAAGATTAATCCTTAATCCAGTGTTTTTTACTGAATTGATTGATTTACACAACACCCTTAACTAAGCCCATTAAAAGTTGAGTTGTTTGTTTCATTTATTCCTGCACTGGTTGATGCACCACAAATCCACACAAACCAGCTCTCTCATGGACTGATTTCATCTGATTTCCTTAGAGGAGAGCAATGTTATTTATTTATTTATATCTCACCTTTATTATTTTTACAAATAGTTCAGGATGGTAAACATATCAATAAAGGAGAATATTTGTAGCTCAGGGTTGAAATGAGGGGTCCTTGGTGCTCTCTGCGCTTGCTCCTTTTCTTGCAGACATTTCATTACCCAAACTAGGTAATATACTGTAAGAAGTTAGCACCCACCCCTCTCCTGGGAGAATGAGATATTTTAGGAAATATTAAAAGATATTTTCTCTAAAAAGGAGTCAGAAACTCAGCCCCCACCCCACCTTTGTCAAAGGGCCATTAAAGCCTGGGCCAGTCTATTCTACATGACAAAGATCTACCTCTTGCAGGCAAAGTAAAACCATGGCTGTGAAGAATTTTGGGAGTTGTGCTTGCCTGAAACCTGACTGGAAGCTCACAGAAAGTGATATTTGAAAATAATTGGCATGGAAAATTGGATACTGTAAATTTCTTATCAGAACTCGTCTCCCCCAATTTGGCAACATGCAGAGGGGTTTAACTGTAATTCTCATCATCCCAACTATATAAGTAGGCTTGTTGAGGGCTGATCTCCAACAGTTTTGGGCACAACACCAACATCGGTTAAATTGGAAAGAAAGGTTTTTGCTTAAAAAGAAAACAACCTTGACTAAAAACTTTTTCAATTTGATACTCATGAGATATGGGGGAGAGATGATAATATCCAGGATTCTCTGGCAGTAGAAAGCAACAACTTTGCCCTCCAGGAAATCTGGGAGTAGTCCCAATGATCAGGAGGACATAAATCAATGCAAGCTGTTTGGACTGACCATGATATGCATCTGTGCACTTTAAATAATTGTCATTACACATAATTTTTCATTCCGTTTTATTTAAGCATTGTTCCACTACATTTCACACTATTAAACCAGCTTGGAGAATCAGAAGAAGCAATGCATACCATATTTCATAACAATTAGCAATAACATCGTGCCATCCTGACCCTAGAGGAAAAAAACCCTAACACAAGACCTGTCGCAGTTCCATAAAACGGTGTTAGATGAGAACAGAAGCTATATTATCTAGATGATACATACTGTATATCTCTGTTTTAATATGAGAGAAAATAACAATAAAATGGTGTAACCAAACTATTTGGCTTCCATAACTGAGTAAAGCAGAGTAAGGGAGCTGAAACAAGGGTGGTTAGGATATTGCAGTTTATGGGAGAAAAGAGCTACAGCTCAGGCATCTAAATATATCATTTAAACCGTAGGTAAGAGGAAATGCAATGAATCAATGAAAGAGATCCATGTTTGTTAATGATCTACCAACAAGAGGGCTTTTGCAAGGGAAACCAAGAAAAATCAAATTGCAACCACACTGATCTATTGTAATTCATTATTCACCTACAGGAATAACCAAGAATATAAAATTTCTCAACCTGGAACATTGATGTATTAATCTTATCATAAGAAATGTTATTTGAGCTGGTTGCCTCCAGATGAATCAACCACATGCAAAATTCACTGTAGCTTCAGAGTGGAAAAAGTAGTCGGTTCGAATGTGAAGGGAATAGATTCTCAATGGACACTCTGAGCATTGCATGTTTCTCCTCAAGCTTAGGGAATGGGACTCATAACTGCAATTCCACCTCTGCTAAAGATTTGGCTTTGTTGGTTGGGGAGATCTGCCTGACCTCTTCAGTGAAGGCATTCTCAAATGCAGAAAAGAGGGAACATTTCAGGCTGTCTTTGAAGCCCCTTGCCATGAAGACGTAGAGGATGGGATTGATGCAGCTGTTGATAAAAAACAAGCATGATGCTATGGGATCACCAATACTCAGTGCCAACCACATGTCTGGACGTGATGAATATTTCAGGTGAATGAAAGAAAACACATGAAAAGGGAAGCAGCATACAAAAAAAGTCACAATCAAAGCCGTGATGATCTTGTAGGGCTTGCTTGCTTGAAACAGTTGACTGCTTCTCAATCTCAAGACAATGGCTCCATAGCAGAGAAAAATAACAATGAAGGGAATGATGAAGGCAAAGATGAAACGGCTGATGATCACATCGCGATGCATGGACATATGAGTATCTATGGTGTTACCGTAAGCCTTAAAACAGTTAATGTTCGTGTCATTTGGATTTTGTATGGTTCCCCCGAAATAGAGAGGGGGAGAAGACAACACCAAGGCCAGGATCCACACACCCAAGGCCATAAAAGAAGCCTGCCGAGGTTTTCGGTGGTTCTGAGCCCAGATCGGATGCCGGACAAAAATGCAACGGTCAATGCTGATGACCGTCAGGATATAAACACTGGCGTAAAGGTTGAGGAAGATGAGGGCGTTGTTCATCTTGCACAAGTACTGGCTGATGTACCACTTGAAGTTCACAGCAGCACGGACAAAAATCAGGGAAAAGATGAAGATGAAGTCTGCAATGGCCAAGTTGAGGAACCAAACTGTGTTGACCGTCTTCTTCATACGAAAGCCGGTGATGAAGATGACCAGCCCATTGCCAAGGACCCCCAACACAAATGCAAAACTGGAGATCACCAGAGAAGCAATCTTCATCCTTTCATGCAATATAATTATCTTTTCAAGGTACTCAATCAATTCCAAAAATTCAAGGTACTGAGTTGCATTGCTCATTTTCTCTGACAAAGCCAGTCCTCGAATGGTGATGTCCCCCTTAGAAGCAAAAACATGAAACATGAGAGTTGGAGCAGGTAACCTTGTAACTACAGCCTAGCTTAATAATTTTGGAGGTCAAAAGATCCCAAACTGGGCAAGGATATTTCCTTCCTTAGTTTGGGGGGAGAATCGGGTGTTTTAGGTTCAAATGTAAGAACTTCCTTGGTGGATCAGATCAATACATCTATATGCAGCTATATTTTTCTCACTTAGACAAGGGCTCCAATTTTTATACCGGTTCAAGTTGGCTACAAACCAGAATCCTTTCTGGCTTGAAAACTGGTTTGAGCCTGTGGGAGAGGGAATATTATTTATTTACTGTTCATCTGTTTGTTCAACTGAAGAAAGAGAGGAACTGAAAATTGGAGCATGAACTGAGCTTTAGAGAAGCTGGAGATAAAATCCAGAATTCAAACCGAAAAGGAAAAAAAATGCTTGGTGGTGAAATAGAAAGCATTAAAATGTGTTAATGATCAGTTTCAACTTCTCTTCTTTAGGGTTTGAACAGCTCATAATGGTAGTCACCTAAATTTCAAGAAATCTCTCAAAATGGAAATGCTGAATAAATAGATTTAGATCAGATCTTAAGTAAACTCCAAGCTGGGATACAGTGAAGACTTGCGGGAAGAAAAGGAAAGGGAGCAAAATCAAAGAGACATGATAACCATGATGAATCTGGGTTAAATCTTCTGCTCTGCCCCTCTACTCTCTCTCTCTCTAAAAGATGTTGAAATTCCCTTCCTGCCTTTCAGAATCTTTGCCTCCAAGTGGTCGAATTTGCTGGTGTCTTTCTGGAAGAAACCACACAGGAGTTCTCCTGGCACGGAGAACTGTATTGGCTAAACCTTCATCAGGGAAATGATAGGTCTGTGGATAGCTAAGGAAAATTGTACTTACCTTATTAGAACAATCAGAAGATGGTTTTGTGTGTTTCCTCTGGCCCCTGTCGTAATATATGGAGGGATTCTGCTGAAAGAGGCTGAGGTAGGACCAAGAACCCCAAATACGTAATCAGAGAGGAAACCAATAGAGATTATGGGAAGTGCAGCCTTTTGTTGCTGTTTTTTTTTACTTTAATCTCAGCTTTAATCTGTACTCCCCACACTTTTGAGAGTTAGCTGTCAATCACGGATTCAGCTGATGCCCCCTTTCCCATCTTAATATTTTCAGGAATGGAAATGGTATACCTGTAAATCATGTGAAGACTCTAGAAAGAGTGCAGAGAAGAGCAACAAAGATGATGAGGGGACTGGAGGCTAAAACATATGAAGAACGGTTGCAGGAACTGGATATGTCTAATAATCTTTGTTGCTCTTCTCTGTACTCTGTACTCTTTTCAGAGTCTCAACCTCTTTTTAAAAATATGGTGACCAAAAACTGGATGCAGGATTCTAAGTGTGGCTTTACAAGGCTTTATAAAGTGGTACTAAGTAACACCAGCTGCCTGCAATTACTGCAAGTTCAAATCTCACCAGGCTCAAGGTTGACTCAGCCTTCCATCCTTTCGAGGTAGGTAAAATGAGGACCCGGTTTGTGGGGGCAATAAGCTGACTTTGTATAAAAAAGAACACCGCTGGAGGGGTGGGCAAAAGCCCTACTAAGTAGGTATATACAAAAGTATGAAGGCTATTGCTTAACGCATTGTAAGCCGCCCTGAGTCTCCGGAGAAGGATGGCATATAAATCGAATCAATAATAATAATAATAATAATAATAATAATAATAATAATAATAATAATAATAATAATAAACATTTTGACTCTACAAAAAACCACCTTACTCAGAACAGCTTACATCCTCCGACGATACCTTAACAGTTCCTATGTCCTTGGTTAGGACTCGAGCTGCTGAGCTATTAACCAGCCTCAAAGGCTGTGAATCTCACTAAAGATTAAATAACAATAACAATAACAATAACAATAACAATAACAATAACAATAACAATAATAATAATAATATAATAACCACCTTAACAGTTCCTATGTCCTTGGTTAGGACTCGAGCTGCTGAGCTATTAACCAGCCTCAAAGGCTGTGAATCTCACTAAAGATTAAATTATTATTATTATTATTATTATTATTATTATTATTATTATTATTCAGATAATCTTGGTTCTCCTAAGCCACTTCCAGAACGAAGACCTTGTGCAACCCTGAGCAGCCTTGGGGAGGTCTTAGAAGCCCATCAACAAAAAGAAAAGTCACCTGAAGCTATGAGGCATGCAACAGATCCTGAGGCTCACATGCTACTTTGGAAAATGAATCATCTGCAAGAAACATCTACAAGTTCAGAGAGCACCAAGGATCCTCATTTTAACCCTGAACTATTTATTACAGGTAATCCTTGACTTACAACAGTTCATTTAGTGACTGTGTGAAGTTAAACTGGCACTGAAAAAAGTGACTTAGGACCATTTTTCCTCTTTACGACCATTTTTCCTCTTTATGACCATTTTTCCTCTTTATGACCATTGCAGCATCCCCATGGGCATGTGAGTTATGTTCGGATGTTTGACAACTGGACAATTGAAGGAAAGTAGTTGTGCCAAAGCTAATGTTGAGTTGAATCCTAAAAAAACTTCCCCTTTCAACATGTTTTCTCCTGCTTGGATAGTTTCTCTGTCTGCCAGTAAGGTGGTTTTGACAGGGAGTCCCTGTGTCTCTGTTTGTGAAAAAATTACGACAGTGGCCAGGAGTGTTTTGACACAACTACAGTTGAAGCCTCTTCCTTTTAAAAAATCCTGTTTTGTAATATTACTTGGTTATGCCTACCGGTTAGAATACTATTAACTTCCCTCCCTACCCACAGGTTCTTGTGAAGTTGTCCTACAGCTTCCAGATACCTTCCTCTCTTCTCTATTCTCAAGAAGGAAGGAAAGAAAGCAAGAACAAAAGAATGAACGAATGAACAAAAGGAAGGAAGGAAGGAAGGAAGGAAGGAAGGAAGGAAGGAAGGAAGGAAGGAAAGAAAGAAAGAAAGAAAGAAAGAAAGAAAGAAAGAAAGAAAGAAAGAGAGGAACGAAGGAAGAAGGAAGGAAGGAAAGGAAGGAAGGAAAGAAAGAAAGAACGAAGAGAAGGAAGGAAGAAAGAAAGAAAGAAAGAAAAGAAAGAAAGAAAGAAAGAAAAAAGAAAGAAGAAGAAGGAAGGAAGGAAGGAAGGAAAGAAAGAAACAAAAGAACAAACAAATGAACAAAAGGAAGGAAGGAAGGAAGAACAAAAGAACAAACAAATGATAAAAGGAAGGAAGGAAGGAAGGAAGGAAGGAAGGAAGGAAGGAAGGAAGGAAGGAAGGAATCCCTTCTTCCTTGGACTTTCTGGATCCAGAAAACTTAATCCTTAATCCAGCGTTTTCTACTGAATTGATTAATTCACACAACACTCTTAACTAAGACCATTAAAAGTTGAGTTGTTTGTTTATTCCTGCATTGGTTGATGCACCACAAAACCACACAAACCGCCTCTCATGCACTGATTTCAGCTGATTTCCTTAGAGGAGAGCAATGTTATTTATTTGTATCCCGCCTTTATTATTTTCACAACTGACTCATCGTGGTGAACGTATCTAACATACCTTCCTCCTCCTGGTTTTCTCCCAACAACAACCCTGTGAGGTGAGTAGGGCTGAGAGAGAGGGAGCTTTCAGTCTAAATCTGGCAGGGAAACTAAATCCCAACAGAGAAAGTTGTTTATACAGAGGACAAAAAAACAGAGAAAAACAGAAATGAAATAAAAACCGTTTTATTTGTCTTCTTGGTTGAAAGCGTAATTGCCTTCCACAATTTGGCAACTATTTGGGCATTTGCAAGAGGCCAGAAATGAGCAGCTTAAAGAGCCACGAAGTTTAAATAATTGTCCTTATACATAATTCTTCATTCCACATTATTTAAGTATTCTTCAACTGCATTTCACGGTATTTAACCAGATTACAGAATCAAATGGAATAATTCATACCAACATCCATAAAAGCTAGCAATAATGAACAAATGCCTCATCAACTCCACCCTGGGAAAAAAAACCCCACATATTAAAACACAGCAGCCATTGCTATTCTATAAAATATAATGTAAGAGTAATAGAGAAGAGGTATTGTTAAGATGAGACATATATCTCTGTTTTAATATGAGAGAAAATAACAATATAATGGCGTAACCAAACTATTAGGCTTTCATAATTGAGTAAAGCAGAGTAAGGGAGCTGAAACATGGGTGGTTAGGATATTGCAGTTTATGGGAGAAAAGAGCTACAAATCAGGCAGTTAAATATATCATTTAAACTGTAGGTAAGAGGAAATGCAATGAATCAATGAAAGAGATCCATGTTTGTTAATGATCCACCAGCAAGAGGGCTTTTGCAAGGGAAACCAAGAAAAATCAAATTGCAACCACTCTTCCTATTGGAGAGATTCAGAACTAAGAGGACACTGATCTATTGTAATTCATTATTCCCCTACAGAAGGGGTGTCAAACTCCACTTCACTGAGGTTGTGTTTGACCTTGGGTGAGGGCGTGGCCAGAGTAGGTGTGGCCGGCTCGATGTCATTCCTGTCGGGGGGGCCCTGTGGCGGCCCAAGCCCTCTGCCAGGGAAAATGGGCACCCATGCTCCGTTTATGGCTGCAACACTCTGCATGCAGCCCTCCTGAGCTCCATTTTCAAAGGCAGAGGGTTGCAGGAGGCTATGGAAGCTGAAAACGGAGCTTGGGAGCCCACTGTTGCTGGCAGAAGCACCACGGGCCAGTCCTTCGCTGTTTCCAGGGTGGCCCCGCGGGCCAGATCTAAGTACCCTGTGGGCCGGATCCAAGCCCAGGGCCTTGAGTTTGACACCCCTGACCTACAGGAATAACCAAACATACAAAATTTCTGAATCTAGAACTTGAATGCATCAATCGTATAATAAGAAGTGTTATTTGAGTTGGTATGGGGTTGGCTCAAATAACATTAGATCTGAACCAACTCCCATCGCGTTAATGATGGGTGGCTACAGGAATAATACATGTATGTATGTATGTATGTATGTATGTATGTATGTAGGTCTTTGGTTTTTCGGGTTTTCTCCCGCGTAAAATTGGAGGTTTCTTGGCAACGTTTCGACGAAGTCTCATTCGTCATCTTCAGGCTGGTGTCTTCGGCTTCGTGCTTCTAGGAGCAATGTGTGTGATCGCATTTTTGTCCGGCATCCGATCTGGGCTCAGAACCACCGAAAACCTCGGCAGGCTTCTTTTGTTGCCTTGGGTGTGTGGATCCTGGCCTTGGTGTTGTCTTCTCCCCCTCTCTATTTCGGGGGAACCATACAAAATCCAAATGACAAGAACATTAACTGTTTTAAGACTTACGGTAACACCATAGATACTCATATGTCCACGCATCACGATGTGATCATCAGCTGTTTCATCTTTGCCTTCGTCATTCCCTTCATTGTTATTTTTCTCTGCTACGGAGCCGTTGTCTTGAGATTGAGAAGCAGTCAACTGTTTCACGCAAGCAAGCCCTACAAGATCATCACATCTTTGATTGTGACTTTTTTTGTATGCTGCTTCCCTTATCATGTGTTTTCTTTCATTCACCTGAAATATTCACCACGTCCAGACATGTGGTTGGCACTGAGTATTGGTGATCCCATAGCAATGTGCTTGATTTTTATCAACAGCTGCATCAATCCCATCCTCTACGTCTTCATGGCAAAGGGCTTCAAAGACAGCCTGAAATGTTCCCTCTTTTCTGCATTTGAGAATGCCTTCACTGAAGAGGTCAGGCAGATCTCTCCAACCAACAAAGCCAAATCTTTAGCAGAGGTGGAATTGCAGTTATGAGTCCCATTCCCTAAGCTTGAGGAGAAGCATGCAATGCTCAGAGTGTCCATTGAGAATCTATTCCCTTCACATTCGAACCAACTACTTTTTCCACTCTGAAGCTACAGTGAATTTTGCATGTGGTTGATTCATCTGGAGGCAACCAGCTCAAATAACATTTCTTATGATAAGATTAATACATCAATATTCCAGGTTGAGAAATTTTATATTCTTGGTTATTCCTGTAGGTGAATAATGAATTACAATAGATCAGTGTGGTTACAATTTGATTTTTCTTGGTTTCCCTTGCAAAAGCCCTCTTGTTGGTAGATCATTAACAAACATGGATCTCTTTCATTGATTCATTGCATTTCCTCTTACCTACGGTTTAAATGATATATTTCGATGCCTGAGCTGTAGCTCTTTTCTCCCATAAACTGCAATACCCTAACCACCCATGTTTCAGCTCCCTTACTCTGCTTTACTCAGTTAAGCTTAATAGTTTGGTTACGCCATTTTATTGTTATTTTCTCTCATATTAAAACAGAGATATATGTCTCATTTAGATAATATAGCTCTGTTCTCATCTAACCCCGTTTTATGGAACTGCAACAGCTCTTGTGTTTTAATATGTGAGGTTTTTTTCCCCTCTAGGGTCAGGATAGCATGAAGTTATTGCTAGTTGTTATGAAACATGGTATGCATTGTTTCTTCTGACTCTCTAAGTTGGTTTAATAGTGTGAAATGTAGTGGAACAATGCTTAAATAAAACGGAATGGAAAATTATGTGTAATGACAATTATTTAAAGCGCACAGATGCATATCATGGTCAGTCCAAACAGCTTGCATTGATTTATGTCCTCCTGATCGTTGGGACTACTCCCAGATTTCCTGGAGGGCAAAGTTGTTGCTTTCTACTGCCAGAGAATCCTGGATATTATCATCTCTTCCCCATATCTTGTGAGTATCAAATTGAAAAAGTTTTTAGTCAAGGTTGTTTTCTTTTTAAGTAAAACCTTTCTTTCCAATTTAACCGATGTTGGTGTTGTACCCAAAACTGTTGGACGTCAGCCCTCAACAAGCCCGCTTATATAGTTGGGATGATGAGAATTACAGTTAAACCCCTCTGCACGTTGCCAAATTGGGGGAGACGATTACACATTCAACCAAGATAAACAAAACTGTTTCTCTTTCACTTCTTTCTCTTTTGTGCCCTCTGCAGTAAATAAACAAATTTCTCTATTGGGAAAGCCCTGCCAGATTTGGACTGAAAAGCTCACACAGACTCTCTCTCTCTCTCTCTCTCTCAGCCCAACTCAACTCACAGGGTTGTTCTTGCGAGGAAAACAGGAGAAGGAAGTTGTGTTGGTATTATATCCCGCCTTTTTGCCAGAATATGTGGGTGGAACACACATGTAATTGGCAAAAGATTAAAAATTGATCAGATCAGGGAGACTTGATGGATGCTTTTAATTTTTCTGATGCAAAGGGGAAGGCATTGATAGAGGCAACAGAAAAGGATTCCTTCAGTGGCTCCCAAAAGCTTTTAACCATGAAGGTCTAGCAGCCCGAGGAAAAGTACTGTATCTTGAAGCTTACTCCACATCTTCTAAGCTAGTCTGCCCATTTCAGGTGGACAATGGAAAAAGGGATTTAATTAATTTATTTTTTTTAACACAGTCAGCTTCTAAACACAGAACAATATTTGAATTTCACCCCTGCACTTCTTGGATGAGAAGTGAAACGTCTTCAAAGGAAAAACAAGGAAGCCCAGTTGCCTCCTGAAAAAGCACCTTTGGGATAGCCAAAAATGCTGCCCATATTCTTGCCCACAGTGCCAGGGGCAGGGGTGAAATTCAAAAATTTTCCCTAGCGGTTCTGTGGGGGTGGCTTGGTGGGCATGGCAGGGGAAGGATATTGCAAAATCTGGTATTTGCTGGTTCTCCGAACTACTCAAAATTTCCGCTACCAGTTCTCCAGAACCTGTCAGAACCTGCTGGATTTCACCCCTGGCCAGGGGGTTAAATTAGGGCATCCTTGCCTCCCCAAAATATGTTTAAAAGGACTCTTCCCCCCTTCCAAGAATATCTTTTTGGATCTATGAATGGGCAAATACACATCCCTGCATATCTGGGTTGTTCCTTCAATGATAACACAGCAAGGCATAAGACTGAAGTCAGATTGTAACTTGGAAAGAGAAGTCATTTCATTCTGTCCAATGGCAGTATTCAAATAATTTAACAACCGGTTCTCTGCCCTAATAACCAACTGGGTAGGCGTGGCTCAGTGGTCATGTGACCGTGTTGGCATGGGCTAACTCAACGTCACTCACTGTTACAATGGTAACAAGGGTTAACCAGAGTGGCAGTTTCTGTAAGCAGAGCAATAAAGATTAGGCTAGAAACACCAGAATGTTTCCTTCTTGCCTTCTTTACAGGATTAGCCCTGTAAAGGGAAAATAAAAAACAAAGTAAGATTTCTTCCAACAAATGGTTTTCCAAACTGCTTAGAAAGTTAACAACCGGTTCTCCCGAATAGGTGCGAACTGGCTGAATCCCACCACTGATTCTGTCCCCACTAGTTGTGATTGCTGAAAACTTTGACTGGAACCCTCAAAAAAGTTTTGAATAGGTTTCTTCCTACTCGGATAACTTCTCTATCTGTCAGTAAAGTGATTTTGGGGGGGCCTTTGTGTGTGTAAAAAAAAAAAATTACAACAAGTGAAGAAGTTGAAGCTTCTTCCTTTAAAAAAAAAACTTGTGTTGCAACGTTGCAGAGTTGTGGCTAACTAGTTTCAGTATTATTAACTCCCCCCCTCCCTTCACACACAGTCCTTTGAGGTTGTACTTCTTCCTCTGAATTCTGTTGCTCTATTCTCAAGAAAGGAAGAAAGAAAAGAGGAAGGAAGGGATGAAAGAAAGAAGTGTTGGAAAAATGTCCATCTGGGTTCAGTTCCAAGTAGGGAGAAAGACACTGGAAACATGGAGACTGCTTGAAAAGATGATTTAATCGTGGACTGGACCACATGGTTTGAGGTCCTGGGCAAATGAGCACATTGGTGAGAGAGAGAGAGAAAGATTTATACTGTCTCTTGGGCCCCACCTCGGAGCTTCCTGTTCCTGTGTAAGAAATGCATTCTGATTGGTTGTCAGACTCCCTTTGGGCCACGCAGGGGTAACTTTGTAGGTTGTGTTGAGTCCCAGGCCCAGTTGAATCTTGTTGGGTGATGATGTAATGAAGGGGCTTTGGGCAATTCTTATTATAGCTTAATCGCTTTGTCTTGGTTTGAATCTTGAGTGAGGGCTAATCCTATCATGTCCTGAGGGTCCTGTCTTTTGTTTTGTAGATAAGCTGGACCAGCCTTTGTCTTGTAGATAGGTTGGCACCAAAATATCTGCTGGGGAGTGGGTGGCAGGGAGCTGAGTTTATGTCTTTTAGAAACACGTTTCTCCTTTAGGGAAAATATAATATTCTCCCTTTTTAATATTTCCTAGAATATTTCATTTTTCTAGGAGAGGGGTGGGGTAGGTGCTAACTTCCTGCAGAAGGAATCACTCAGTTCCTAGGCCCTTCTGAATGAAGAAAGCTTAATCTTTTCCTTGAAACAAAAAAAGGAAGAGGACTTTCTCTTGAATTAATTAGTCAAATCAACACTCTTAACTAAGCCCATGAAAAGATGGCTGCTTCGTTTATACCTCCCTCGGTTGAAGCACCAAAGACATTGCCAACCTTTATGCAATTTTTCTCCAAAGGCCCTACATTTTGCAAAGCTTTTTTAGAGAGAGTCCACGTGAAGAAAATAATCCACTTTTATTGGGTTATGGTCTGCCCATGTATTTGTCATTATCTCCATCTCTTCGATATCTCTTCTCAGTCCCGGAGTCATCCATACCGTATCAATTCTTGACCACAATTGCTCAAATGTTCTGACATGCAAAGATTGTAAAGATATCTTGCTTACTTTAATGTAATTTAGATGTGCTTGGTAAGTAACTACAGAAATATCATAACTTTTTAAACATTTTGTTTGCCATTTTTTTTTATCTTAAGTGTCCCGCAACTGCATTTCACACTATTTAATCAATCAGAGAATCCAATAGGACAATTCATACATCCATAAAAGCTAGCAACAGTCAACAAATGCACCATCACAGACATCCTGAAAAAAAACCCACATATTAAAACACAGCAGCCATTGCAGTTCCCTAAAACATAATATGAGAGAAACACAGAAGCGGTATGATCAAAATGAGACATCTCTGTATTTCACTTTGGGGAATAAGAATAATAAAACAGTGCAATCAAACCATCACGCTCCCATAAACATGTAAAGCATACTTTTGTTAGTTGAGAAGTCTTGTCCGACCCATCGCGACCCCATGGACAATGTTCCTCCAGGCCTTCCTGTCCTCTACCATCTTCTGGAGTCCATTTAAACTCATGTCGACTGCTTCAGTGACTCCATCCAGCCACTTCATTCTCTGTCATCCCCTTCTTCTTTTACCCTCAGTCTTTCCCAGCATTAGGCTCTTCTCCAGTGAGACCTTCCTTCTCATTAGGTGGCCAAAGTATTTGAGTTTCCTCTTCAGGATCTGGCCTTCTAAAGAGCAGTCAGGGTTGATCTTCTCTAGGACTGACTGGTTTGATCGCCTTGCAGTCTTCTCCAGCACCAGAGTTCAAAGGCCTCAATTCTTTGACACTCAGCCTTCCTTATGGTCCAACTTTCATAGCCATACATTGCAACTGGGAAAACCATCACCTTGACTATACGCATTTTTGTTTTTTTAAAAAACAAAAGCATGTTTTTTAAAAGCATACTTAGGGAGCTACAAGGTGGCTGGTTAGGATGTTGCAGTTTATGGGAGAAAAGAGCTACCACTCAGGCAGCACAAATGGATCCAAGGATCACTGTAGAGCCAACGTGAATCCTTTCCACCAATATTTAGTTAGCTTTTCACGGTACGTAATGAAACTGGAATATTCAGGGCCATAAGTTGTGTTGCTCATTTCCTCTGACCAAG